AGTATTCATAATTCTTAAATTTAATATGTAGCCTTTTTTACAATACATGTTTATATGTATGTAATTAATCAATTTTTTATAGAAATTATGATAGTCATATACATATATATACGCACACATACACATTAACCCATACTTTTTTATATATTATGTTATTAATATGCATGCTTTTTTTATTGCATCATTTTTAAGGAGAGGTGAGTTAAATTACAAGATTTCTGTTCAATAATAGTTTTTAATTTTAAGTTGTAGTCTGTTATTTCTCAATATACTCATTGTATGAGTTATGTAATACCTGTTTTAGTTATCTCATATTATAAATGTAGTAATTAATATTAATCCCCTTTAAATAGTTTGGTCTGCAACTGCATCTTTACCAGAAAAATGTACAGTACCTTTTTTACCAGTCAATCCACAATTGTCATCCACAAGAAATCAGGGTAGACAAAAACTAGCAAGATTTACACCAAAGGAATTCGCTACTCTTATTATAGACCTTCTCATTGAGGCTCGCAGAAGACATATGCTTGCAAATAATGCACCACTACAAGGTTTGTAGAAGATTGTTTAGATTATGCTTTTTTGTAATTTATCTGTTATATCATTTCTAGATCCAGCTGTTTCTATGCTTCGTAAAGAACAACCTGGAAAATATGGATCACAAATGTCTGATGATGAACCTTTATATGATAGCGTCGCTTCTGATGACGATTACGCATTGACATCGACAGACAATACGAAGCCTGAATATTCAACACAGTTTAAAATGGATAACGAGGTAGGCATTGTATTACTTTAACATAAATATGAAAAAATGTTATAAGCACGAAAACTATGACATAAGATATAAAAAAGATGGACAATAAGTTACCTGTTAAAATAGATAAAATTATCTGGTAACGTATTAAAGGTACCGGCTCTAGTAACGAAAAGAAGAATAAGGAATCGGCTAAGTACATGGCTCTTCTGTAGACAGTGCTATTAGGCAAGTGCACAGGTCTGTTAGTGCATGTGCAGCCTTTGCCAGAGAGTGCTTGTGCACCCCTTACAATATATAGTTCACTAAAATTTATAACACAGATATATTGATTATGTGTTTTGTTTTGTAACAATTATATAACGAGATTTATAATATTTTCCATTTTTCATATAAAAGTAAACTCTCATTGTACATATTAAAATGCTATTGCAGGAAGCCTTTGCACCATTAGCCAAGGGGCTTCCATCTGTCGTAGAAGTTTTGAAAAAACAATTAACTCTCTCTGAATCTACCGTCAGGGATCTCCGTGAGCAGATACATACTTTGCAGAATACTATAGAACAACTAACACATGAAAATAATGAATTGAAACAAATAATTCATGTAAGATAGAAATATTTCATATTTCCACAATATATTGCAAAACGAAATTTAATATATAAAAAATATAGTTAAAAGGGTCCAGTGATGGTGTTGTTAATGGTCACGTCGGCGGAGAACAGGAACCAGAGTTAGAGCCAGTGCTTGATATAAAAACATCTCTCAGTAGAAGTAACCAGCGACCTGCGTCAATGTATGAAACAAGGGAAGGTTTACGAAAACCTAGTTCATGGGCAACATCACTTTGTCAGGTATTAACATTGATTTTCTTCGGCTTATCTTTATATAAATGTTAATAACATAGAATTCGCTTTACATTATGTACAAATATAAAATACAGTCAAAACGAGATTCAGAGGCGATGTCTCGCAGCAATACACAAAGCTTGTGGGAATGCGGTACTCCCAATCTTCCTCCCAGCGAGGAAGTTACTCGAAGAACTGAACAAGTTACAAGAAGAATTCAGGAATTATGGATGGCCATGCAAGATCCAAAACAACGAGAAGCTTTCGTACCTTGTGCAGAAAGAATTCGTGTTGCTGTTGCTGAACTCACAGCAATATTTCCTCAAGTGAGACATAGATTTTAGGAATATTTTCCGTTTAATATGGATATAAATTTGTAATAAATATATTTAAATTTTGCTGTAGAATCCAATCGAGGAAAATATTAGATCTGCTCTACGTCAATTAAATGGTAATACAGGTAGACTTCAAGCAGAATGTTCTGGTCTTCAGAGATGTACCAGCGATATCGAACATATGGATCGTTGTCTTCAGCAAGTACGTTCATGTGCTTATGACATTGCCAAAGCAACGAAGCTTCTTGTTACCCAATTTCAAACGTAACAGATCAAAGGCAAAGTATTACAATTTAACTAATTTTTCTATACTTGATGTATATAATTTGTACAGACGCTTAACATCGTAATACTCAAAATCATCACAAATTTATATATTTAATAAGTATTCGTTTTATATTACATAAAAGTGATTTGTTGTCTAATATTCTTATTTTTATTTTAATGTAAATAACGAGCAAATTTTAACGCATGAACATTCGTATAATTTGCTAAAAAATATAAATCATGACATTCTTCAAGATTCAATATATATTTACATAACTTGTAATACATAAAGACTGAATAACGACGAACCAATGAATTTTATTAATATGCAATTTAAGTTTGTATATTTGGTTTTATAAATGTACGTTCTGCTCGTATAAGCTGGCATATAAAGGAAATTAGAAACGTGGCAAAATTTATTGCGTTCATGTGATTAAGAAAGCATTAAGTGCAATATCAAAAAAGAAGTATCTTTTATAATATATTTGTTAAAACTACGTAAAAATTTTGTGCATCTAAGTGCCAATAAAGCAATTTATTTCGAGGTATCGGTAAATAATTGTTTACGGTACAAATGTATAATTAAAAGATTAACGAATAAAAATATGTTTTTATTATTAAGCTGTATGTAATAATTGTTATATGTAGTAATGCTTATGGATAATTAATTCTATTCATACATTAGTAAACCAGCTTATATTAAAGCATTATAAATAAGCGAAAAATTTATTGCCAGTAAAAGGAAAAGTTTTTTTTACTAATTAATGTGGCCACATACAATAGTTAATTATGTTACTTATGACATTTAAGTTAAGATTTTCTCTTGTTGTAATATTGATGTTAGGAATATATGTTTAACAGTCTAATAAAATTTACATATCACGTTATTGTTAACACAAATTACATTGGTACACTTGCTGATAAATACAACTATTAAATATTGTTTTTAATTTTATAACATTTTTTCCTTATATTTTTGACGAAACATTAATTTATAGGCGCGATTCTGTTTAAATCAAGCAGTAGAATCACTCCACCTTAAATATATTTGTGTATATTGATGCTTGTTTATGCAATAAATGGTTGTGATTTAGTAACTAAAATAAGGAGCACAGATTGCACAATCAATCGTAATTTATAGATTATATAACTGACATAATACATGTTATCTTTAATATTAAAGTGTAATTAATTATTATAACATTTTCGAAATGAAGTTTAACCTTTATTATAATAGATTTCAATTTCACATATAAATTGTGACATTTTATAATTTAAAATATTATGTACAATGGTCAACGAATTAAATTTTTAATAATACAAATGACAAACCAATTAATGTTACCCTGTTAAGGGCAAACAAGAAATATCAACGTTGTATTCGTAAAAAAGAAATAGAAATTTTATGAAAATCAGCCCTAAAGAAGTGATTGCCTAGTGAATTTTGTAGGCCAATGATTCACAAGCGTTTTCGCGCTACCTGTTATGAAATCTTCGACGGATGATACAAAAACACGTGTTCTTTGCACTTTAGCCGATAAAGTTTAGAGTTACTGAAGTCGATTTAACAAGTGTTCAGTAGGTAGGTAAAACGAATTGAACTCGCGTAAAAGAAACACGGTTTTAGTAAGTTAATTGGTACAATACGAACATTTATGTGGATGATTGAAGGGAAAGTAGTGAAGCAGGAGAGCGGCCATTTTATGTTAGTATGACGTAGAGGCTGGGTGTAGCTTCGCGTTCAACCGTCCGTGTTCTTTGGAAAAGGCGAGAAAATCTGAATTCTGATGCTGGGGTCGAGGTAAATGCACCTACCACGCACTGAACGTGTGAACCGTAAATTAAGCCCAAGGAACGTAAGGAAATTAGTTAAATAAGGAAGTACAGGGGTCCTGAAAGAGCGAGCATGAGCGAAGAAAGCAATCCGCGAACGCTCTATGTGGGAAATCTAGACGCTTCGGTGTCGGAGGAACTCTTGTGCGCACTTTTTTCGCAAATAGGTGCCGTTAAAGGATGCAAGATTATTCGAGAACCAGGAAACGATCCATATGCTTTCGTCGAATTTACGAATCATCGATGCGCGTCTACAGCGCTAGCCGCCATGAACAAGCGATCCTTCCTGAATAAGGAAATGAAGGTTAACTGGGCAACGAGCCCTGGAAATCAGCCGAAGTTGGATACGAGTAATCATCATCACATATTTGTTGGTGATCTTTCACCAGAGATTGAAACACAAACCTTAAAAGAAGCATTCGCGCCTTTTGGTGAAATTAGCAATTGTAGAATTGTCCGTGATCCACAAACCATGAAAAGTAAAGGATATGCTTTTGTATCATTTGTCAAAAAGTCTGAGGCTGAAGCAGCGATAGCAGCTATGAATGGTCAGTGGCTTGGATCTAGAAGCATCAGGACAAATTGGTCAACTAGGAAACCACCACCACCAAGATCTGAGAGGCCACGACATTCGAATAATAGTAAACCTAACTATGAAGAGGTACGATCTGAGTTTTAGGCAGCAGTGCTGTTAATTTCATTGTCTTTCTATGTAATTGAAACATGCAATAATTTTACATAGTATAATCGATGCCAGCATAATGTTTAATTTCTTTCATAATTTGTGTGTTACTATTAATAGGTATATAACCAAAGTAGTCCAACTAATTGCACAGTATATTGCGGAGGTTTTACAAATGGCATTACAGACGAACTGATAACCAAAACATTTTCTCCATTTGGTACCATACAAGACATAAGAGTATTTAAGGATAAAGGATACGCTTTCATAAAGTTTACTACTAAAGAAGCAGCGACGCATGCCATAGAATCAACACATAACACAGAAATTAATGGTAGCATTGTTAAATGTTTCTGGGGAAAGGAAAATGGAGATCCTAATAGTGTGGGTCCTAATGCAAATCACCAAGCTCAACAGGTTATTTTAATATATATATATGTATATATGTATATATATTGTGGTATATATTTATCATATGTTGTATGGAATACAAAAGATACTGTTAACAATGAGTTTTTTTTGTATTACAAAGTATTATAATGCATACATGTATTTGTTTCCTGTGTATTTTGTCCTTAGTGAATTAAGAAGGTATTGAAGTATGTGTTGTTTTGCTTAAATAGGTTACAGCTGGAGCTGGACAATATGCATATGGATATGGCCAGCAAATGGGTTACTGGTATCCACAAGGGTATCCACAAATGCAGGGTCAGTTTTTGCAGCCTGCTCAGTACTATGGCCAATATTATGGACAACAGGCTCAATATATGAATAGTATGCGAATGCCTGCTCCTGGTGCAGGTACATGGCAACCTGCACAAGCAACCGCTGCACCACCAGCTGCAACTGCACCATTGCCACCAGGTCAGCAACCTGCTATGGTAACATACACCATGCCACAATACCCCACGCAATGAAATTGATCATTGACCGGCATCAACTAATTGTTACATATGATACATTTGCCCCTGGGGCGTTCGCAAAAACTGTTCTGTCATATACCTATTCCAACAAATTTATTGGTATTTTGACTGCAGCATCATATGTATAAATTTCCCAGTTTTACTTCAATTGAAGTACTACATTGCAAAGATAAGCACCTAAATTTGGTTGTACCAATATCGACTGATATTAAGTAATATCTTGAGGGATTATACCATCGAAAGTTCAAAGTGATATATATATGAACATATATACACTTACACACATTTAAATATACATTTCCCTTATACGTTTCCCTTGCCAAACAATAGAAACGTATATCACTGTAACAAGTGCAAGTATGTCTTGCAATGCTCATTGGAAAAGAAATATCATAGCAGTCAATCCATCAGTGTAATATAATAATCTTTTCAAAACAATTTGTATCCATGGTGTTGAATGAGGTATATTTCTGAACTTAAAATTGCAGCCCCTTGACGAGCCCTGCATTCGTTGTGCTGCGTAAGATGTACGTATGTATGCGACCACTGCGTTGTTATATTATATTTTTAATATTTTTGCCACAATTACCAATCTTTAGTTTATTTCAAATCATTAATGAACAAAGATAAATGTTCATTTATGATAAACACAGAGTATGACATTGAACATAGTATAAGATAGAGAGTATAGGTAGACACGGCGCCTGTGATGTAGCTAGATTTGGATGCATGCTTTGACGTATGCAGGGCCCCTATTAAAGTAAACTATACGAGTCGATAAACGGGTTGTAAACTTTCCTCGTTTTGTGATATTTATCGTCGGTGGTAAATGTACAAAACATTCTTACAAAGAATTTTAAAGAAAATATTCCTGGAAGTGTCAAAAATGAAATATTTTATGCCGAATTTGACTTAATTGAATACACTGTGTTATACTGCTTAGTGACTCCACTCCATTTGTACAAAGAAATAGCGAATCTTGGTGTAATTATTACAATGTAATTTAAGTGTAATGGTAATGATAATGATAAACACTTCCACTAAGAGCTGGAGTCACTACTGTTTTGCCTTTACTAATTTATGTATTCAAAATTAAAATTACGTTCTTCTGGATGCGCTGTAGAAAATTAATTTTTTCTCTTATACCAATCAGTATATCAATTGACAATCACATTTGATATTACCTAATGTTTTGACATTGTTGCAATTATAGCATGGCACGATACTTATAATTTCGTGTCTTCCAAATACTCTGCAGGAGAAATTTGTTGCACAAGTTTAATAGAATTTTCAGTAGAACTAGCTTTAATATTTATGTTTCTTTAAAGAATTTACCACCTTCGTTCTAAGTATCTTTTCAATGTTAATCCATTCAACATATACCTCTTTATGTTTTAAATTAACAATACAGAAATTAGGGTGAATTAGAGTAATGTAAACTTGTCGATACTTCGCTTCACCACCGACGATAAAAAGCCATAAACCTTTCAAAACCAATTTGTATAAAGTCAGTACTGAATGTAATAACAGGAGAAACGTAACGTCGAATATAGCAATGATTAATTGACTGCGATAAGTGATATCGAACTACGGAGAGCCAATTTAAGAAAAAAACTTGTCTATGGACTAATAATAATCAGTGAACCGATGGAAGACATAAAAAAAAAATGTTATATAAGAGTAATTTAGGTACAGCAGGGTGCGAAACCCTCGAAAATGCTTAGGATAATGTTATCTTATAATAAAAACAAATTGTCCTTTGAATGAAAAAAAAAAAGGAATAAATATTTAAAATACACAATATTTTGTATTATTTCATAGCCCACGTTATTACAAAAGATAAAGTTATGAAATAATATCAAAAGTGATTTTTTAAATTTATAAGAAACGTAGTACCTTCGTTTATAACTGGTTAAATGTAAAAAATAATATAACACGTTTTTTAAGTACATACGAGGTAATTTTATTTTACAGCCGACATACTTTTACAATAATCGTTTACGTTAACCAAATATTTTTTTTTCTACAAATCATCTTGTCAAGCACTTAAAATACTAGATGATTGGGTGACTTATGTAGAAGACAATATTTTGCCTGATTTTCTGACACAATCAAAATTTAACATTAAGTTCAATATTTGCGATTTTGTCAAAGCTAACAGATATATTTCGTATATTTTCTGTATGGAGTTTGCAGTTTCAAAGGGATATTGTTATGTCCGACTTAATATGCTGATTATACAATTATTATTATACGAAACAAAAATATTTCTTTGCGAGTTATAAACAGTGTCAGTTTAGGAATACTTTATATATAATCAAGAAATCATAATTCGGCAAAATTGTGAACAATTTAATTGATTTTCACATGGAAGTTGCGAGCATTCCTCTTTTTTAAATGAAATGCGCTAGAATAATTTGTACTGTACACTTTATTACACACAATACATGCGTTCCTCGGTCTCGATCACACAGCGGCAAAATGCTAACTAGGATATCTTGGATATCTGTACAATAGGTGACACTATATTATTCAGTTACAATTAAAAATTACTATTTAATTGCATGATGTCACTGAGTCTATATCAACGTTAATTAAATATGTATTTGTTAATTGTTTCATCAATCGAAGAATACTACGATATAATATATTAAAAGGAGTTGCTCAACGAAAATTTTAGTTTGCAATCTACAATCATAATCTGTCTACCTTGTTCAATATACTCTGTTTAAGTAATTTATAATGCCGTTAAAAAATATAGGTTTAGCATTGAATTTTTACCTATAATTCTGAAGAATCTACCGAAATGACACACCATTCACAAAGTAAAAATAAGTTTCACAAGTTTTATATTATGTTTGATCAAATAAATTACGGTCTAATTTTCTAGTAATTACCATTTTTTTTTTAAAGTTCGCATTACAACGCGCGCAGTGAGTGATATGAATTTTTTCAAAAATCAAGTTACGCAATTATCGGAATAATTTTTTCACTTCGTAACATCGAGAGATAGATTTGGAGATTATAAATTACGATGTACTGATCAAGAAAACATAACACGTGCAAACGTGTGCAAACATTTTTTGAATGATCAATCCACATTTGATTACTTTTAGTTCAAGTAACGATAATTAATATTAGCATTATTATTTTGCTTATGTTCTTAAGGAATTCCCTATTTCGAGTTTTTATAAAAGTAGCAAAATAACTTAATCGAGGCTGAGCGTGTTTTTAACATGGAAGGCCAAAGTTGTAACTATGTAGATATATACCCATATTGATAACAGTCTGTTGTGCAAGATCATTGAAAATATTCAGTTAACAATATTCTACTTATGTGTATCGTAAATTATTTAACGCAAAGGAACTTTACATAAGACAAAGATCAGCATAGATCTGCGAAAAAGAGTATTCAAAAATAAGTGAAACTTAAGTATATAGTCGATATAATGCAACTATGTTGGCACTAAATTCTCGCAACATAAACGGTTTTAACATTAATTTAACACGGAATTCATAATTTTTTTTCTTTCAATTAAATCAATTACATACAAAGTTCAACAATACATATCAAACTTAATACATTTATATTGATATACTGCTGAAATTAAATTTATTTGGCATTAGTTGTATCGTCAGTTGCATTTGCATATTTGGTAGAAAGAAGTGTGCGCTTTGCGCATTTGCAAAGGTACAGCATCTCTTACGACTACTATATTTCCCTATGACTACATCAGTTACAACTCATATTGAAAATTCTTCTAACAAGTCAAACAATTTCTTCCTTTAAATTGCATGGTAAGACTAAAAAGGTTCTTAACATATTTCACACACATACTATGCATATATTTTTACTATTATTCATTAATATTAACTATCGATCACACCAGAGAGAAGCCTTAAGCTCGTTGCATTATCGTCATTAAAATTAAATAAGAACGATTTACAACGTGAGGAAATAATCATTCCACGCTTCTCTTGTAAATAAATATAAGTACTTGGAGCAAAATTCAGAGATATCTAATATAACTAATTTCAAAGTAAAACAATATTTGACTAATATTGATGCTTACTAGTACTGTTTTGCAATAATCGTGCTTTTAAATCAGTGATTATATCGCACAAGCACAATCACTTTTCGTTTGAGCATTTGAAGCAATAGATAAATATCAAAAATTTATCATAACATTATCTAATTTATTATAACATTATCTTTTTATTCGTAAGATTTGCTTATAAATAACAAATATTTTCAATTTCACAAAGTTCAATTATATTTCCAGTTCGTTGTCTCATAGAAATCTCATCAAATCAAGTGTTGATTTATAATTCGATAAACATGATAACCCCCCGCTAAGAGACCTTAATCATATTTCATTTCAACAATTATCAACCGAATATCTGAAATACTATCAAACATAACAAGAATAATACTTGCAGTACTTTTCCCGAATACGTTATATAATGTGCATTTTGTTGTTTTTACAAAACTCACATGTCTAAAACAATTCTAATTCCGTGTCTCACTTTTGAGCACGTGCTTGTACAAGATCTGTTAATTTTTATACTTATCCGATAACTTAACTACAGCAGTAGTTAGTCTGTTAATATCCAATTATAATAATTGGTTTATTATCTGATTGGACGTGTGCCGTTTCATGTGCAAATGCAGTCTTCCTACAGATATTATTCAAATCAATTGTGCTTGAATAGTAATTAAATATTTACATTATTCATTTCATTATAAAGTGCGTGTTGACTGTAGGATCATATCCTTTTTTATAGCTCGTGATTAAACGAAATATAAAGTAAAGAGATTATAAAAATCTAGATCATATAACTATAAGTATTTGAATTCTAATATCAACATTTTTAGAGTGGAACTTAAGTCTATGATACCTGATTACTGGATGGAGTATGGAATGTATTACATGTGTAGTATAAAGCTGTTAATATTACAGTGTTACTGCTGTAATACGATTTAAAAAACAGTACTTAGCAAGAGTGCTTTTTGTAATATAACATTTTCTTTTTATATGTAGATGTTGTCATTTATAAATTAGCTTAGAAAATGTAAAAGCTGCTATATTTACATTTTGTAATAATTAATATCGCAGAAAATCACTTTTATAGTATTTTCCGTCGTGAAGTTGCTCCATTTTTTTATTCAATTTGTCGAGATTTTAGAGTAACTTATTTTCAAGTCTTGTACTTTAACTAATTCTTAAAAATCATAGACTTACGTCACCATATTCGAAACTCCATTTCTCATAAGCAGCTAAACTTGCAGGTGACACTGATCTACGAATTCTTTTAAGTGAATCACGGAAATCTTGCACTGTGATGTTGCGCACGGAGTTAAGATCCAATTCCTTTACTTGATCTGGATTGAGCTCTGTACAATATCAACAATGCTTTTTATGTATAATTAATAATGATCTGTTTATTTGCAGCGATATGACTGTCTGGCCAAGATTTTAATGTTCATTCAGTCTATTTTAAGTAAACACAAAAGAAAACATGCAATAGAAAATAGAACAAATTTTATCTTACCTCTGATAGGACCAAGCGCTGCGTCCTTTGCTAAACCCGTTAAATCGCTACCAGAGTAGCCCTCAGTTAAAACTGCCATTTCGTTCAACTCTTCCGGTGTTAAGGGATCGTTATGTTTAGCTAAAAGTCGCTTCAGTAACATAATTCGTGTACGTAAGTCTGGTAATGTAACATATACTCGTTTTGTGAATCTTCTTAATGCAGCTTCGTCTAATTCTTGGGGCCTATTTGTAGCAGCCATGACAAGTACTCTTTCTTCTGGATTACACGGCAAACCATCAAATTCAACTAAAAATTCTGTTTTCAACCGCCTAATAATAATTGTATAATTAATTACATGTAAATTATTTTGTATAAATGTTACTTCTAAACATATTTACCTCGATGCTTCATGTTCGTTATCTCTGCGTTCACTTAATAGTGAATCCACTTCGTCAATAAAGATCACAGATGGTTGTAACTCTCGCGCAATAGCAAAAAGAGCTCGTACTAACTTTTCCCCTTCTCCAACATATTTTGATGTAAGACTAGCAGCGGATATTGAAAAAAATGTAGCGTTGCATTGGGTAGCAACAGCACGCGCAAGTAATGTCTTCCCATTTCCTGGTGGACCAAACAATAATAGCCCTCTTGCCGGCGTTCGTAAACCAGTAAATAATTCTGGCCTTAATGAAGGTAAAATTACCATTTCTTGTAGTGCTTGCTTTGCAGTCTATATTATCAAAGAATAAAGAATGTAAGTTTCTCTACAATATCACACGTGTTTTCGTATACAAAAGTATACAAATGTAATATCTACAAACTTCTTGACCAGCAATATCTTCCCAATGCACTGCTGTTCCTCCTTCCAAAATTTCATCAAGAATAACTTGTGCAAGTTTTGGGTCTACACCTTTTAAAGGAGGTACTTTTCTAGTAGGTGTTCCTCTATTACTATTTGATGTTGTAGGTGTCCCTGGTCTCCTAATAGGTGAACCATTGCCAGGTACAGATAATTGTCTTTTCACTGAAGGTGGTGTAGATGATGGTTTAATTGGTGTAACTCTATGACAAGATTGAACTGGTGCCGAACGTCCCATACTACGCGGCAATGTTTGACTCTTGCTTATAGCTGTACCCACTCTTTTTCCAGGAACAGACAATTTTCTTCCAGATGCTATAAAAACATAAAATAAGTAAGCATACAAGATAAAACTATAAAAATAAAGCTATTAATACGCTTGAATATAAATTCTTGCCAAATCTATTATGTAAAACTACTACAAAGAATAAAATACAAGACAAACGTTTTGAAATAAAGAATGTAATCTTTTGCATAATTCAAATTGATGTAAAAAATATGAAATGTATTTGTTATGGTAATATGCATGTCACAATCAAAATGTATTTGTTGTAATAATATGAATGTAATATATGATTGAAATGTCACATACACATGTTACATTGCTGATACTTTATACATATAATACAGAATTTTATTATCAAAAACCTTTATATGGATATTCAAGACTTTTGAATTAGTAACATACTTCAATACTAAATACAATCTAATAAAACAAATATGAGTATATGTTTCTAGAAAATAAATGTAAGTAGTACTCTTTAAATTATTTTAACATATCTTTTAAACAAAACTGTAAATTTTTATATGAAGCATATATTCATGCGTATAAAGTAATCTTTCTTTCTAGTTCATTCATTGTTTTACATGTTATTTTACTTAGATATAAATAACTCTAAATGTTCAAACTTTTTATGTATATTAATATACTATATTACTACATATGGTAAAACTACACTAATTATAAAAATTAATATAATAACATGCTTACATTTACTACTTATTGCATTACATCAATAACTAATACAAGTGCATGTGTTAATAATGAAATAGAAATAACATTTTTAGGGAAGCAATTATTAAATTTACACTCAAAGTCTGCATTGTAAGCCCAAAACTTCAGACAAACAGTACCTTCAGAATGGGCAGAATAGTTTTTTGGTGAACGTGGCCTTAACTTGGGAATTTGGGTACATGTATTCTGCCCTATGTTCACTGTTTGTGTACTGTTTGTGTTTTTAGTATGGTTTGTATTTAAAGAAGTTCGAGTTGTTTGTAAAGTGTGTATATTTCGTCGGACCCTCAGATTCTTTCCTGGATGTTCGTTGTCCATTTTATTTCCAGGAGCACGATATTCATTGGAGATATCCAGTTTTTTCAGCTCACACACACTCACTACAAAAAGGAAAAACATTCTCTGCCATGCTGCAGTAGGCTAAATAGCTAAGTACAATTTGAACTCATAAATTTTGTCAAGTTTGTCCGAATTGTAAACTATGTTACTAGTATTGAGATTTGAAATGAATGCTCAGATGGCTGTTAGATATGCTGCTATATGATGTTTGGCTACTAGTTTATACATAAAAAATTTGCGCGGCTTATGAAAAAATATATTGTGCCAAAAATTAAATCATGAAAAAAGGGATAACGCGCTCATGCATACACGCGCCGATACGTCCGCACATAAATACACACGCACGCACACACGCACGCACGTACAAACACACACACACGTACGCGTAAACATTATAGAACAATTAACACATGAGCATGCTAAATACATTAATATAGTATTACTCCTCAAGCTGTACCAAAACATCATCTGAAAATAATATGTAATTCTAAGAAAAATTTACAATACAATAGTAATTATACTAATGTTCTACCATTTCAAGATATACTTTTCATATCATATAACATTGGAACAGCTTAAGAAATGTGACATGTATTTGAGATGTATGTTTACAAACCAAGAAAATCAAGTCTATCCTTTGCCATTGCTAGATTAGTGCGCATTTTATCATGAAGTTTTTGAGCATGTTCCCATACTTCTCCTCGACCACCAGTGCATTCTATAGCTATTCCTTTCTCTAATTCTCCAATACCTTTTTTGTAAAGTTCAATTGCCATTTCTTTTTGACCTAATGCAAAATGTATAAAAAAAAAAAACAAATGTTAAAAAAACACATTATAAGTTATGTAAATATAAATTTTATGTACTATGTATAGTTTGTTTATACCATACCTTCATTATCTTCATCAATTTTAAGTGCTTTACTGATAAATTCAAAAGCTCTACGATGATGATGTTTTTGTTTTGCAAGTAAGGGATCTCCAGGGCCAGGACCAATAGATCTTCTAGGCACTTGTGACATTCCTTCGTTTTCCATATGTCCAGTATTAGTTAAATTGTTATTTAAATTTTCACTAGACTTTTGACCAACCACGATTTCTAGCTGGCAAGTCTGCCTAGAAGTTTGCCTTCGTTGGATCAATTGAGATGTAGATGTATACAAATACTTAAATACCACAAATAACTGATAGAGAAGTGTTCTCAAAACATTAAAGAGCAATATTAAAGGAAAAGAAACAATGTACAGATTGCGTTTGTGTACTGATGGTTGAGGGGTGTCGAGAAAGCGATGGTTATGATGATAATGGTTGTGATGATGGTTATTGCAGGTAATGGTAGTTGTTGTTTTATCGCTATTTTCATTCTTGGTCACACAAAGTTTTTTTGGCGACTTGGTTCCGTACTTTCGTATCGGACGCCCGCCATCACTGTAAGACATTTCCTATTGCAAATTTTTGAATTCGTATAGTACAAATTTTACACCATGTTTTTGAAAAATATTTTGGAAGCTCAATAAACAAGTCTTCCTAAAAGTAATTGCTGGGCAAAAACGATCGTTCTCACTGATAAAAGAGACAAAAGAAAAGAACGACAAAATTCAGAATTCCGAGATGTTTGGAATTGACAAATTATTAAATGGTTCGTGATCTTCTTCAGCATCGCTTGTTTTGGTTCATATTTAACTTGGAACATCGATGTATAACATGGATTTACAAACATCAACAAACGTTGTTTTACAAAATCGTCTATACAAAAATATATACATAGAGAAACTTATATTACATACACCTTAGTATTTATTTCTCTTAGCACGTACTCCACACGAGATAGATTACTTTATGCACTTGCGCTCTTTATCATATCTTGTTGCACATGCGTGTATTTAGATGTCTTTACTATTCTGCCGAATTCATACAATCTTAAATTCTACGTTCATTTAATATATTTATTTTCGAAAAGTAGAGTGATATACTTTTTTTATAAGTACAGGTATCTATATATACATATTCATATAATACAACTTACGTAATGAAAGATAGAATAAAAATATAACAAATAAAGGAACATGTATTCTCTCGTTTCATTTCTGTGTGGAAAAGCATTATGAAATTCTTGTTTAATTTCTTAAGTATAAAATAGTAAAATACAATATTTATAAATATATTTGTCATATTTCCCGGTATAATTATTATCGATTGATGATAAACTAGTTCTGCAAATTTATCAACTGTATCATATTAATGCATGAGTATTCTACAGAGGGTCTCTCGTAACATTCTACCGCCATTTTCTTCATCAGTTCTGCGTTTTACATTCCAGAGATTGCATCGAGGCAAGATGTCGTCCGCAAGTGGTGATGAAACTGAGATCACTTTAAACGAACCCGGTAAGATGATAATAGTTCTGAAAGAAACTGTATCTAACATGTCATAATATTGTCTTTTGTTTGCATTTATATACATTTGCGTTAAATGAAACAAAAATATTAATACACCCGGCAGTTGACCAAAGACCTGCGAACCGCCATTAAACGAATGGCGTCTTGCATACGCATGTAAGGTGTAAATATTTCATTTAAATTTTGTAACCTTTTTCGAATTTTGTTTCTTTTAGTACGTCGTACGAGATCTAGTCGTACACGTAAAACTACCGTGGTAGCGAAGAAGTCTCCTGTAAAGAAACTTTTAGCAAGGGCGACACGTTCTCCGAAAAAAGTGCAAGAAATCGAAGAGGTCGAGGTGCGTGAATTCTATAATACTATAGATAGTTCTCATAATCATCGAGGTACATAATCGGAACTTTATTCAATAGAAATAACTGGTTGTAAATTTTTAGGAGGAAGAACCTGTATTGCAAGAGGAAGTGGTTATGGAAAGCATTCCAGAAAATGGAGTGCAAAGGTTTGGTGACATTATTATTGAACAACATAATGAAGATGATTCGTCTATGTTACAATTAGAATTAGAAGATTCTGGTGATACAGCTGTTCATGAAATCAATATGAATCAGAGTGTACAAATAGGAGTTCAAGAAAGTGTACCTGATCTAGAAACTGCATCTCAAATTGTAAGATACATACACATTCTTACATATACACATGCATACACACATGCATACACACGCGTGCGTGCGCACGCACACACGTATAATATTTTAAATTATTAAATTTAGTATGTTAAAATTATATTTCATTTTTACTTCAGGATCATTCTAATACAATATCAGATTCAATGATCATAGAAGAAAGCAGTATGGATAAAGTTGATATTTTAAGTGAACGTGAACAAATGGATATGGAAGGACAAGATACTAGTAATGATGACACAAATCAACGTGTATTGATAGATTTTCAGGAAGTTATGAATGAAGATGGGGAAACCATAACACAAGTAACAGAAATTTTAGAAACAGAGGAAATTGAATCTGAAAATGTTATAAATGAAGGTACTAGCATTGAAGTCATGGAGGTAGATTGTCAACAAGAAACATCAGAAAGTATAGAAAATGTTACAGAAAAAATTGTACCTCATACAGACACAATGGGAATGACGGAAATCATAGAAACCACTGAGGGTGACATGGAATGCTTACCTGAGAATGCTATGGAAAAAATAGAACCTGATACGGAAGCTGTATCTGAAGATGAACTTCCTACAGAAGCTGCAGCAAAAGTATGTTGTTATTGAACGTTATAAACAATATATAACATGCGTAATAATTACTGTTTTATATCGATTATGTAGGAACCAGAAACAGAAGCTGTATCTGATGAAGAATTACCAGCAGCAGCTCCTGCAGATTTAGGAGAAACTGAATCAGTTTCTGAAGATGAGCTACCATTAGACAGTGAAAAGAAGAAAAAAAGTGGTATAAAGACACTGAGTAAAACTCCAGAAAAGAAAACTAAAACAGAAGGCGCAAGTAAATATAGAAAAAATCAAACTTACACAATGATTTTTTAAATTATTCTATTTAAATCGTTTTACCCTGTTCGGTATTTATCTTTACAGATAAACGCAAGTTAAATGCTGAGGGAGAATATGATCCTAGTTCACCGACGTCTGAAAATAATGATGAGACGCCGGCAAAAAAAGCTACACTTTCAACCGAAACAGACCCAGGAGACAGTAAGCAAGAAATTAAACCAGCATCGCCAAAGAAAAAAACATTACCGGAATTAGAAAAATATTGGAAAGCTGTTAATGAAGATCCATCAGATTTCACGGGATGGACATACCTTCTTCAGTACGTTGATCAAGAGGTAAGTAACGAAGAAAAGAAGCTATAAAAGTTATATATTAGATATACAATATTTTTGTTATCTCATAGAATGACGCAGAGGCTGCACGCGAAGCTTATACCAAATTTTTGGAGCGTTATCCATATTGCTACGGTTACTGGAGAAAGTTTGCTGATTACGAGAAGAAGAAGGGCAACCCCGAAAATGTCCAAAGGGTGAGTCAACTCGTTTACCATATTCATTAGGCCTACTTCTCATTATGATATCATTTAATTAACGCAATCTAATGAAAATAGCTCGAGTTAGGAAGACGCGTGGGCAGTGTGCACGCACGTAAATATGGTTTTCCCTTCCAACAGCCTAGCACGTCTTGCGGCACCTATACGACTCTCTCCGTTTACCAAATAGCTAGTTACTTAATTATTCTGCGATATCTACAATATTATTGCGAATATTACTGTTTTACTTATACCGTTATATCAATATTCTACGTACAATACGTAAGTCAAGCGAAGGCTAGTTGTTTCAATTTGCGTTATTATCGTGCAAGAAATTGTGTGTATTATTTACTGTAAGCATTTGTACACATAGCTTACTACAGAAAGTATTGTAACTTAAGCATAAGATGCGGTACCTTACTTAATGTAAGTAAGATTGGGTTGGGTGTTAAATCAAAGTCAGAAACAAAGACTTAGGACGTGAACATGCCAGAGATGGAGCAAGAAAAAGTGACGGAAGACACAGAGGCACCCAGATCGGAACACTCCTTGACTATAAGGTGAATGCACAATGCTCTGCAATCTCTGTGTTAATTAAATCTCTTTATTTACAGTACGCGTATGATATGTGAGTATACGTTGCTAAAAACCGTAATGCTTAACGAAAGCTAAAAAAAAAAAAAAAAAAGAAAAAAAAAGAAAAAAAAATAGGTATAAGTCTACCCGCCACCAGCCCAATCATTTGTAAACTATTCTAAGTGTGATTGCAAACCATTACTACAGGTATTCGACCAAGGTTTGAAAGCTATTTCGCTCAGTGTCGACCTTTGGCTTCATTACATCAACCACTGCAAAACCGTCTATGAAAAGGATGAAGAAAAGCTTCGGGAACAATATGAAAGGGCTATTCAGGCATGTGGTCTTGAATTCAGGTATGAATTGTTTCGAATTTTACTTAGATATTTATCTAATTATACTTAAAGACTTAAACACTAATGTGTAATCCTCTGTTTAGATCTGATCGTCTTTGGGAAAGCTACATAAAATGGGAGTTGGAAGGCAAACGTCTGAGCAGAGTAACAGCATTGTATGATCGTTTATTGTGTACACCTACACTCGGTTATATTTCCCATTTTGATGCATTTCAAGAGTTCGTTTCGTCAAACTTACCCAATCGTATTTTAAATGTTGACGATTTTCTTGCATTACGTGCTGAAGTAAAAGCACTTTTGAAATCAGATGACAATACTTCCACTTCAGCAGCGGATGATGCACCACCTGGAGAAGAACCACCACCACACGAACTTCCGCCAACTGATGAAGAGACCCGTGCTATTAGGGAAAAAATTATTAGCAGTAGACGTAAAATGCACAAAGCTAATATTAACGCAGTTGCGGCAAGATGGTCATACGAGGAGGGTGTAAGTGTATACATAGAGTTTACTGTGTAATATTCACCGTTTAATACTTCATTCTCATTTACAGATTAAAAGGCCATATTTCCATGTCAAACCTTTAGAACGATGTCAATTGAAAAATTGGAAAGAATATTTAGATTTCGAAATTGAACAGAAAGATCAGAATCGGATAATTATCTTATTTGAAAGATGTTTAATAGCCTGCGCGTTATATGATGAATTTTGGATGAGAGTAAGTCTCACTTTTTTCAAGTTCAGATATTCCCACGCGAAATAGTATACTAAAAATTTTAATTTCTTTGTAGTTTGTTCGTTATTTGGAATCCTTGAAGGGCGATAATGTGGAAAAAATAAGAGATGTATATACTAGAGCTTGCATGGTGCATCATCCAAAGAAACCAAATTTACATCTTCAATGGGCAACTTTTGAAGAGGGTCAGGGTAATTTCGAGAAGGCAGCAAGCATATTGGAAAATATTGATAGTGTAATACCAAACATGTTACAAGTAGCATATCGAAGAATAAACTTGGAACGTAGAAGAGGAGATTTGGATAAAGCTTGTACATTGTACGAAAATTACATTAGCAATAGTAAAAATAGAACTATCGCGAATAATATCGTAGTAAAGTATGCAAGATTTTTGTGTAAAGTAAAAGATGATGTGGATAAGGCAATAAAAGTACTGCTGAAGGTATGTTCATGTTCATTTTCATATTACATTTTATTAATTTTTAGTATGAATTATATTTACATGTTCACTTCTTTTATGTACATTAAACACACTATTCATGTGTTTCTTAGGCCACAGAAAAGGATAAAGATAATCCACGGCTATATTTACAATTAATTGATTTGGGAATGCAAAGAACTCCCGTCGATACACAAGAAATTGTAGGATATATGGATATGTTTATAGAACGAGAACATGCTGATCTCGAACAAAGAGTACTTTTTGCACAACGTAAAGTGGAATTTCTTGAAGATTTTAGTCCAGATATTCGACAAGTATTGAAAGCGCACGAACAATTCCAAAAGTGCATCAAACAAGCAAAGGAACGAAAGAAGACGAAAAGCGATGATACCAAAACGTAAGTAAAAAGCGTTCAAATTGTCGTCAATAAAGTTTACTAAGTAACTCAAATTTTATACTTTACAGAGACACTTCTCCTCCAAAGAAAGTTAAAACTGGTGATCAATCTAGTGTTCCACCTCCCCCTTCTGTAAGCTCACAGTCATCTTACCAGTACAGCAGTGGCCCAAGTGGACCTTATCAATCACAGCAACAATTTCAAAGTGGTCAGTACGGTGGTCAAGGTGGATATCAGCAAGGTTATCAACAGTATCCACCTCCTTCTGATCCCAACTATGCTAATTATCAGAGTTGGCAATACGGACAAGGAGGACCACAGGCATACGGACCATACAATCAATGGGGATCGTACAATTATTATTAGTGGATAATACAAAGTTTCTCCTGTATCAGCTTTCATTGCGTTACTGTGTCTACTGTACATTTTATAATCTTTATTTTTTCGTCCAAGAATGATTGACAAAAAGGTTACAAAATTCTTTCAAGTTCCAATGACACATCAGTGACCTGACACGAATAGTAATAATACATGTCGTACTGATGTTTTCTTTCGATACATATAATTCTTTGCATGAAGTTCTGTCTAAATGTATTTCAAATAATACAAAAATACAGGAAATACCGAAGAATTTCCGACTGATGTTAAATATATTACAGTTATAACACGACACAGGTAGTTGATAACAATTGCCATACAGTACGAAAACGAAGTACATTATGCGAAGCATTTTCCAATTGTACTATCTGTATTGAATTTGTATGATGCAACATTCTGTTTTTAATTTTATTCCGTGACATTGTGTTATTTCTTCAACAGTAAACCAGCAGTTCATAAACGTTACCTACAATTTGTAATAAATATTCTTTTCGCGTACTTAGTTCATAATAATATAGTTTTTTTTGCTGATGTGCGTTGAACGTATCGCTTAAAGAAAATTAGGATGTATATGTAAATGGAAAAATAGATATTTGAATATCCTAAAGACACTACGTAAGCGCACTTTATGAAATAATCACGGAATAAATATTGTTAACATTTGTCAGTACATTTTTGATAAACGAGTGAATTACAGAACAGAACCATGTTTCTATAACATGTTGAGTTATAGAAATTATTATCACTGACATCCTATGTTTAAGTTACGGATGCATATTATTTTGTAAGTTATAATTTCGCGTTTATAACTAGGATCCAAATTTTGCCGTAAATCGGCATAGAGATCACATACATTAAAGACATTTTTTCTGTATGTGAAATTTTATAATTTGCAATAAACAAAATTTAAAAAAATATAAACAGTTCTGATAGCGACAGCGCATTGCTTGTATTAATTTAGAATTTCAAGGAAATATATTTATGATTGTCAAAATAAGAGAAATATAATTTTTAATTACATTGTGAATTGATGTTTCACTTTACATTATTTTCTATTAAATTAATGTCTTTAAATGTTACGTTTAATAAATTTTAGATATTCAGATATTACTATTTAAATTATTTAAGTAAATCAGATTGGAACGAAGCGGTGAGTATCAAGGCAAAAACTTAATGCAAAGACAAATTGTTTGTAACAAATATGCTTTTTTATTACGAAAACATTATTATGATTCTAAATAATTATAATCGTAAAAACTTCGTTATTATTCTTTACGATATTTATTGAGAGCTTGCAATTTTACTTACGGAACAAAATATCCATGACGTTTAAATCGTTAAAAAATCTTACACGAAACCTTTCGAAGTACAAGCAGCTAACATGCGTATTACGTTAGTAAAAAAAAATATAATTTTATTTCAAGTATATTAAATATCATTATGAAAGACTTTAGTTTTATAAATGTCATTGCTATGTAACTATAGCACTTGAAGCCATTGTATTAAGTCCACAGGCACCATTCCCTCTATAAATTCTATAATAACCCTGCTCGCCCCATCGTGGGCCCCAACTGTTCTTTATTATCCAGTACGGTAGTTTTCTGTTGAAGAGGCGATACTCTGAAAAACGATGATACATTATATAAATATGTGATAACTAACGTATTCAAATTTAAAAATTATAGTACGTACCCTTCATGCCGTATCCTACAATTAAAACTCCATGATTTATGGTTTCAGGGTCACACAAAAATTTAAATGGATGTGCAATTCCTCCAACGTAAAATTGCATAGCATTGGCGTTAATACCAATAGAAATTGGGCCATTTTTAACTAACCATTGTGCCATTTTCGTTTCATTCGATGTAATATTTACAGCTGCAGCAACTTGCACCATAGCTTTATTTTTAAGGAAGTGGCATTTTTCATTTTTGGCATCGTAAGGATAATCTGTTTCTAATTCGAGACCTCCCAACCTTTCTATAGCTTTATAAGCATTATCCATTAATCCTCCTTCACATCCTTCATCTAAAGAATCGCAATCAACTAATTCCTGTTCAGATAAAGACAATAATTTTCCATGTTTAATTGCATACTGTCCTTCTACGTTTCCAGTTACAGAAAAGGCCCAACATGATCCACATTGTCCTTGATTTTTCACAGGCGTAACTGCACCGTAATCGCGCCAGTCGAATTTAGGTGGTAATGGTGTTGGAATGTCTGGTATCTCAGCCTCTGGAAGAGATATATTATTTTCTAGTTTTAAATCGGGTCGAAGACCTAAATAACGAGCTTGAAATTCTTTGCGTGTTAAGTCTGCAAACATCGTAACACCGTATTCAGCTGTTCCTTGTTCTAATGTTTGAAGTATATTAATATTTATCAAATTCTGTTTAAAGATTTTAAAACGATATTGTTTCTCTTTGGCTGAAGAGTATGTTTTGTTAAATTTTGTAGTGAAATCTTTAAACAAAACGTCGTCTTTGACTTCCTCAGCTAATTTCAACATTTTTTGATTATATTGAGCACCTCGTAAGGATCGTTTTCGTCGATTGTTTAAATCACAGTTAATAGTAATTTGAGGTGATCCTTTATCTAACCATGGCTGAGACCATATAGTGAACAAACATTCTTTAATTTCACTTCCTTCTTCCAGCTGGCAATTATTTTTTGTACCTTTTGCACAATCACTTGTACCTAATTTAACTTTTATTTTATATAATAATCCGGATACTACTTGTTCTGAAGCATCAACAATTTCTACTATTATAGGCTCGTTTGAACCTTCAGAATTTTCTGAGAATTTTTTCAATCCTTTGGTAGCAAGCTGCTGTATTTCAGGATCATTAACATTTTTACTATGAGGTGCGCCGACATTAGATTTTCTTTTGTTTCTATGCAAGGATTTATTCATTCTAGAATTTACTTTTTTTGGAATAATGATCTCTTCTGTAACTTCTTCCCTATTTATTTCAGGATTTGACTGAACTTCCCTTGTTGGTAAATCAAAATCTTTCAGAAATTCACCAAATTCTTTAGTTTTATCTTCAAATCCTTTAGCTTTAGCATCATCATCACTTCCATTCACTGTAACTTTTATCATAGGGTGCTCTGTTACTTCTGATTGTTCCTGTTCTTCTAATTTTGTGGTTGTAGCATAAGTGTAATTATCAAGAATATCTTTTAAATTTTCTAAAGCTTCTAATTTTTCAGGATTCATTTGTTCTTTATTAGGTGCAGCTGTTGCAAGTGATTCACTAGTTAATGTTGAATAAGAATTAATAGTTTCTACATTATCTACCACAGTACAATTGTTCTTTGTTATTTTGCGACTAGATTGTTGCCAAGGTTGTTCTTCAAATGTTACCAAACATACTTTGATGGGAAGATTTGTTTGTACAGAACATTCTGACTGTTCTACTGCATTTTTTAAACAATCAGATTCTCCTACATGTAATAAAATTTGATATTGTATAACATTGGATGAAGGTGGTACAGTACGGGTTACTTTCACAATACCAACTACTTTGTGTTTGAAATCATTTTGTATTAATTCATCCATTGATTTTACTATTTGCTCTCCAAAAGCAATTACTCCAGGCAAGTTTGGATTTAGTTCATATGGACATCCTGGACAGTAATTAGGATTCGAGGATCTCATTGCTATAAATGGTCTATCATTGTGGTCACCACTTTTCTGAATTTCATGATCTAGCTTAACTTCATGATTATTGATTATTTGTTTGTCCAAATTGTCGACAATCTCCTGATCTTGATTATTTTCTTGTACTTGCAATGGCTCATCCTGCACAGATTGAGGATACAAGTACATACATTGTATAGATTCTCGTAAAACTTTTATATCTCCATCTTCATGCTGTTTTACTTCAACAGTACATGCTTCTCGAGGACAAGGTTCTAATGCTTCTTTGCAAGTGGGAGTTAAATCAAATGTAAGTCTATATATTATATATGGTAACTCTTCCTAAAAATTGAAAAACAAAAATTGAATTCAAGCTATTACAGTGATATCGATATTATTAGTGGTATCAAATCACTTTCTAGAAAATTGTAAGAAAACATACCAGTTTTTGCGCGCTAATCAGGTTACCGCCCTTATATGTATGATGTGTCGGAGAATCCTGATTTAAAGAATTCAAGGCACTTTGAACTAAGGGTTCTGGTACATTTTGCACTGCTTTGTTGACGGAGTTAGAAGACACAAGGATTGAATTAATAAGAAATAAAAATGAAACGCGCATTACGCACAACAATAAGCCTGCCATCTTACTGCACATACGCCACGATTTTGACCTCCAACTAACGCAGTGACACCTTGGATGATTCTTTATATTGCTTTATATTTTATTACAGCAAAGATAATAATTACTTTTTAAGTTGTTATTTGATTTTACGAAAATATTTCTGCTACTTATACAGAAATGTATACCGTAGATTTCAACATGATTGTCAAATGAAGTATTGTAATATATCAATAAAAATAGAAATGACAGATCAGCAGTGATTGGTAATCGTTCATGTGAAGGAAAATATGCATATGATTCAACAAATTTGTTGGTTTACAGAAACATTTTTTACTGCATTGAAGATAAGATAAATTTTATTATTCAGCATATAATTAACTTTGAACCCTCTATTAAATCACGATGGAATATTAACAATAGTTTCGTGTAAGTATAAAAAGTAAAGTGTTTAGCGAAGAATGAAGTAGTATGACTTAATGCGTGAATATGTATTTAAATAATGGAAAGCAAAATCAATACCCAAAATATAATTCGGTTAATTTAAAAAATTTGTTATCAAATATGGGGTACAAAATTCGTAGGAAAAATCCTTACGAGTATTTTGTAACATGTATTTAAAGTAATACGATCAATTAAAATTGCTTGCGTTCATTATATCTGGCACGATGTTTTTATCACCAAAATATATAAATTACATACTATTTAAGCATAGTAAAACTTTAAATAGTGATATCTTGAAAATATTTTTGTTAATTTCTATATACGACGATTTGACAAATTTTGCATAGCATTTGGAAATTGATTTTATGTTTTTGTGTTCAAATTTTCCCGCCATTTTTCAAACATGGTAACCATTACCCAGTTCCGGTTGTCAAAAAAGCAGCAGCTGTTCACTGTATCGATGTAATCATCTGTGGTAGCTGCAGTGTCCTCGAAAGACAGCACTTTAACGAAATTTCGTGGTAGTTTATTTGTGGTATATGGAAAGCCATTAATATCATTGGTAAGCGAATATATTATTCATTCTAACTTATGTTAAAGAAAACTCTTATAACTGACAACAGACAAGGTACCACATTGCGGTGAAATTGTATCGATTTTCCACTTTACTCTAGCTATCGTTTCACCCACGTTAAGGTATATACTTCGTGTTCAAAATTTATTGAATTTGATATTTTTAACATATTTTGTTTTTCTCTCTCCGAAGATTTTCAATCTTGAATTTAGATATTCTGCTTTCCAAATTTAATGTGCGTATGCATGTATATACACTTAACTGACTGAACTTTTATATTTTTGTTCTTTAAGTTAATTGAAACGTTCGTAGCTTTGAATTTTGTAGATTATCAATTCAATTTGATATATATCGTAATTAACATACTATAGTGGATCTTGGTGTAGTAACTTTTTGTTATTAAAAGGGGAGTGTGTTGCTACACATTAGTGCAATGTATTTAAAGTGGTAATATATATAAAGCTTAGTGCATTTCATTAATTTTTGCACAATATTGTGTCAATCGATTCCTTGTTCAGTTAGTAGTACTTTTTTTTTCGAGAACATTACAATATTACATAAATTACTATTTACTGATAACAGTAAGATAAGCATGACTATATGTTATCTAAGTATTATTTGAGTATCTGTTTTTATGATAGGATTTATCAATAAGATTTTAAAACATTTAGCAATATCTTGTCTTAGAAATAGTGTAGAATTTTTACGATTTTATAAAATTTATATTGTTATTATAAAATTCTGTAAAAGAAATTATTGGGAAAATGTGGTAATATCAGTGATACCTTTTTGAACGAACATCTTTTTATCATTTACTGTTTCTTGTACAATATTTTCCACTAAGTTCGTTATTTAACATGAATTATTTCCAATATACTTACATAGGAACTTGAAAGCCATTTTTCTAACTGCGATATATTTATTTGAAAAGCGGCCTAATGCCCAGTGATTCTCAAGTGACATAAATGATGTGTTTACATCGCGATAATCGAATAATTAATTTCAATTAATGTTAATATTCGATAAAATGATGGGTTAGAAGAATTAAATATTATATATTACAAGATTTTTTGGTTAAAGAAAGGAGTATTTTAATGTTAAATACGTATTTCCGCGCCAATTCATAGGTTTGTAATCCTGTCCTCCTATTGGTGCTTTCCTTTGTCGACAACATTTTACCCCCACCACGGGACGAGCACTGTGCTGATACTCTGCGAAGTGCGACTGCTCGTTGGTCAGTAGCTGATTGCTAATCTTCCAGTCGGAGAGAACGTAGATCCGTGAATTTTGCTTGCAGTTCTACCGGTTTTTTGAGCAAAAGAAGTGTCAGTGATAGTTCTAAAATCTCTCATTCGTCGTTCTTCTTCAAACCAACCGACTGCAGAGTTGATCAGGAACGGAAACACCCATTGAAGACAACTTTATTGACGAGTGTACGGTTAGTAATAATAGTTGAACCGGTGCCACTGTATACTCTTCCTTTCTTCATTCTTGTACCACTTTGGCACTGGTAGAATGAAATTCTTCTGTCTTGCGTGTTCTTCACGGATACATATCATACCGATGTCGCCTAATTCTACGAAATTCTATGACAATTCGATTCGTGTTACTGGCTTTCCGTTCTTGGTACACCGACGTAGGGAATCAATTCGCGAAGTGATGACTTTATATTATCGTCAATCACTCTATACGTAACTATTAGATACATAGGTGAATATTTCCATTACTTTCGAGTTTCTTATATAAAACGGAAATGAGAAGCCAGATAGCGGTCATTAAAAGTTTCCTTGGTACTGTAGGTTAATTCAATTGTATCGTAAATTTATTAGCTATCAAATTATCAGATGTATCTGATATTTACCTCGATGCGTAGCATTGTGCCACTAGTGTTTGTGTTGCACATGCTTTTTCTTGACGCGTTTGATCAGAAAAAAGGAAAATTTGTCTGACACAGAATCTCTGACTATCTTGATGTTTGTATACAACTATTCGAAGGAAAAGAAAAGGGCTAATATCATCGTCTCGAACCGGCTATTTTATTTATTGATTTCTTAATGTCACACGTATGCGCCTGGTCTACTTAATGCGTAAGCGAATCTTTCTAAACACCTATTTCCCTTCTCGTAGTTGGTTCGATCGTAGAAATTCCAGGTCATTGACAATGATGAGAATACTCGAGCAGTAAGCTGTTGATAGTTTTTCTACCGGCGTTAACAGCTGAGCGTCATTGATGTAAAACACCAGGAGTATGTGTGTGTATGATAAGCGTGCGCTACTATCGAGAGAGAGCGCGCGCGCGCGCGAGCACACACCTGCACACATTTACGTACGTACTAGCAAGAGAGCATGTATGACGTCAGAATATTTGAATTTTATTCTTGCTCTTGATCGAAAGATGGACTGCGTAATTACAATGACGCATGCATGAGTCATGGGATGCGGAAATGCATTAAAATATTGATCCTCCTCACCTGTTCTATATTTGTTGCGACCACTTTTTATTTAGAGCCGCTTTGACTTTTAATTAAATCGCGGAACGTTAAACACAGTTCTATAGATTGAATTTCACACAGGAGTATTGTACAGTGTATCAAGTATCTGGGGAGAAATTCACACGGTTGTGAAGGCAGCTCTGTTGAACTTTACCATTTAAAAATTCAATTACATTCATTACAAGTATAACCATCTCGTTTTTCACTTTTACATTAAAATTAGACGTTCCTTTTCCGTGAAACTTTTCGTTTCGTTATTGTAGTATTTAGCTTATTCTTTCGCAATCGTTACTTTACTCTATGTGACATCTAAACATAATTTACATCAGAACGTCAAACCAAACAACCAACACTCTTCTTCGAAAGATATTTTAGACGTTCAAGAGCGACACGCGAGAGTCTGCATTACCTGCAGATATGTAACCTTGCAATTGTGCATCGTGACGTGGCCGCGTTGCTTGCCGGCAGCCGGCACGTTGCGTTGCGTTGCGTTGCGCGATCCGCATTTCCTATAACTGCATCGCAAAATTTTTCTCGTTCATCTCACCACCACGTGGTCATTGTAGAATCGTTCCAGATAATATCTCGTTAATTTTCCTTTTTTTTTTCTATCATATACTTTTCTCCCGTACGAGAAGAAACAGGGATTGCAAACTGCGATTACAATTCTTTTCGTAAACTTCGTCCATAGAGACTAGACTATAGAGTTACGACATAAGTTGCAACTAATCGCAACCGCTAAGCGACGTTTGCAACGTTGTCTCGTAATACCACCTCGATTGCAATGTTGTTCGATGCGTTGTGACATATAAAGTATCTAGTCGCATTCAGTATCAGGGAGGTAAAGTAGTAGGGTATATCAGGGCGACATGAATGAAAGTTACACGCGACGTGTCTCACGAAACTATATTACACGTATTTTGTACACCGTGTATCGAGCGGAGCTATACTGTCCAAGCGTGCACACAGAGGGCAGACGTTTTAATTCGCTCGAGATTCCTATCTGGGAAAAAAATCTATTTGACGTTAACCTACATATATAGATGTTTGAATACACGTTACTTGAAGCACAGACAGCCTTTTCTTCTCTTCAGAGGCTCGTTATTGATTTCTGAACACGATTTCCTTCGAATGCTCTCTTCTTCGTTTTCTGCTTTATCGAACACCAATATCTGTTTGTTTGCAATTGAGAGGGTAGGTATTCGAGGTCCGCGTCCTCCAGGTCTGACTAGTCGCCCGTGATCTTGGCGAGGTGCACCGTGACCAGGAAAAGCGACACGGTACCTTTCACCCTGGAAACGAGCCAACTTTGTCTCGAGGGCAAGGACAGGCTCAGTCGATTGGTCACGCCATAACTTGTACGTTGCTTGGACGAATTTAACGTCATATACAGGGTGGAGTAATTTTATCCATTCATTTATCATTCATTCTTACCTACTTTTTTTTTTCTTCACACAATTTCACACTTTCTATTTACCACTCATACTTCCTTCCTTACACGTGTATCCCATTCGTTGGTGATTAAATTCACAAGTGCCAATTACCAAGCACTCGTGTTACTCGTCTTAATGCATTAACAAGGTCTTTCCTGTGCTTCGAGCTTTACTAAACTAACATTTCTTGAAAATTCCAAGAGTAATCAACGGTGATCGAAATAAATCGAAATTACCTTCACTTTCTTCGATTATTCACCCGAATATAACTCTCGTCGTACTTTCCAACTAGTAAATCCTCCATCTTAATTCATCTCGAGTTAAACAAAAGTTCGCGCGACGAAAAGTTGTTAAAAAGTATGATTAACGATAACTCGAAAATACATCCCTATTGAGTGGAACGATCAAAAAAGCGTGGCGAGAGGAAAACAAAAAAGGGATTATTTATCTGGAAGAGAGAATCGAGTTGGATAAATCATGTAGGTGTGCAAAAGGTTAGGTTGTATTTACCGACGCAACCTACACATACACACACATACATAGTCAGAGGTCCCAGCTGATCGGTTCTCGTGGTGCTGTGAGGATTGAAGAAGTGGTGTGTGGGTCGCGCGTACATTAGAGGGTGGCGGTGGTTGGAGGGCAGGAAGCACGACGAAGACGACGACGTCGAGGACGCGGAGGAGGCGCGGTCGCGTGCGTCTGCGCGCGATTCGGTCGGTGGGTCGGTCGGTCGGTCGGTCGGTCGGTCGTCGGGTATTGATTTTCATAGGAGCACACTGGTACACACACACACACACGTATCTCGAGCACGTAAACGCGTGTACATGCATCACGACGACCGACTGGCTGGCTGGCTGCTTTTGTCAAATCTCTGCGTAAAATTTCGCAATCGCACAGATACTCCATATACTCCACTTCCGATCCACGCGTTATTCTCTCACCTCTATTACCACTTCTCTCGATTCGTTAGGCACCCTTTGTCCACACTCATGAAAGTACGTCGTTAAGCTTTCGTTTGTTCGTTCTCACGTTTGCATACTGTTTCGCAATTTTATATACTTACGTCTGCTGGGTATTGGTTTTTCTTGGTCCAGTAGATCGTTTCGGGGAAAGGTTTTTTCGGTTGAATTTTCCGAGGTCGTGTTGGATTGTTCGATTGAAACGATGGTTTTGATCGGGATATAAGAGGAGAGTTTACTAACGTAGCGGTTCAACTTCAATGTTGCAGAACGTTCGAGCACCCTGAAAAGGAGCTGCGACTGGTACAGAGCGAGCGAAGAGGAACAGCGATCGTAGAAGAAAGTTAATCAGGCAGCAGACAAGATGCCTGCTCCGACATCAGCAGCGGGTACGGTGGAGGGACCACCTCGTACCGAATTGCAAGAATTACAGCTGAAGGCCGATCAAACTACAGATGAGGTATGCATTCGAATCGTTTTACATGAATTTTTCAGTTAGAAATTCATCGTTAGATTGGATAAGTAAAATCGTGTATCGAATCGAATTTCACGTAATTCCATTATTCACGAATCGTTCAGAGAATCATTATTTGATCAACTTATTCGACAAATACACGTGACTCGTTCTGTTTCAGTCCCTGGAGAGTACGAGGCGTATGCTGTCACTATGCGAGGAGGTGAGTTCGTGTCATCCTTATGAAAAACTATTCTCTCTTCTATTTACGCATTTAACCTTCATCCCCGATCATCCTCGGTACTAATCCTCGATCCTTCGTTACTACTAGCGATCTCTGCTCCCGGAGTTCTTACTCCCCGATCTGTCTTCTTAGAATTTCTAGGAATAATTGTCGCTGGTAAAAGAAAAAGAAAAACGAAAAAGTGATAAAGAAAAAAAGAACAATTAAAAAGTTACATCGTTGCGTGTAATTTATTCGCGTGCAAAGATGATGGGCGTTTATGGTCTGTCCTCTCGGTATACTTTGACGGTGTGCAGTTTGAAGGAACAAACTGTGAAAAAACAAAAAAAGGCAAGAAAGATGGAAACGCGCTGGAGAGAGGTGGGCAAAATACTATTTCGGCTAGTCCGATTGAAAAAAAAAAACGTGTACGAGATTGTAGAGAAAAATCTGTACGTAATAGGTGAGAGAGAAAAAAAAGAAAAATAGACGGAGCGACGTTTCGTGCGAAATTGCAACGAATGAAATCGAACGGAAGACGTTTCGATGCACGGGTGAAATGGTCAGATTTATGCGGCGTAAAGAACCTTGAAATAGTATTTGACCCAGCTCCGGCGCCAGAAGCATCCTTCGTTCCTACAACATATGTACATATATATGTATATATACTACGTGTATATATTTCGAACAATAAATCGTTCAACGGAAGTGAATAATGGCCATATATCCGGGATATTATCGGTGGCTTCATAATAACGCGAGTTTTTTCTGACGAGAGCAAAAGAGACATTTCCCTGAACGGGGAAATTGTGTGTACTCGGAAGAGAATTGTAAGACGACGCATCGACGCGGTCCGAGACGGTAATTCGCTGCACGAATGCACGCAATATATAATCGCTGGTTGTATATTTTCTCTCTCTCTCTATTTTTTTTGCTCTTTCTTTTTTAATCGTGCTATTTCCACCGGTAACCTCGATAAGTTTTATCACATGCGAAATATCAGTTCCTTTCGAAGGAACAGTAAGAGAACCGTGGACGAATGGAATCGATCGAGGAGAGATTTCTTAACGAGGATAAAATTAACGATAAAAAGCCCGCGTGCGTTCGTGCGGTGTTTTTCGTGTATTCTGTCTACGTTTTTCAGCTCCGCATTTTTTCTTCCCATGCATATAAACTTATTCGTTGTCTATTGCTCGTATCTTCGATATCTATTCTCGATATATATTTTGTATGTACGTCTCTATAAGTGTGTGCGAGAAACTTTTTAACTGTGTACTGTCCGATGTCTTTATTCTTTTCCTGTTCAACTCGTTACTAATTGTCGAAGGAGCGAACGCAATCGACACCTGATAACCCGAATTCTCGTTAGGAACGTTTCATCTCAAACGGGTGCAATTTTTAATCGAACATTTTTTTCAAAGATATCACGTCTTATTGTCCGTTACAACTCGACATTTATCCAGTGACATTCTGTTGGATCGAACGAACGAACGACGAAAAACGGGGGGTTAAAGGGTCGTTGCGTCGTTCCATTCCAGTTTCTTTTGCCTACTTATCTGTGGCTGCACTAATTAGCACGTGTCGCATTTCGAGCACTGGAGACGTCAACGACTTATTTTTTAGCGTACGTACATACTTCTTACTCACGCGGGAAAGAAATTAAAAGCTGCCCGTACGTATATATGTATACACGAAACTGCTGTCGATGTAAGTCGATTTTAATTCGAGCTCTCTATCGATGATCTACGATAACGCCAGGCTGTGAACGTACATCAGCCTGAACAATTGGAGCAGTTGCTGCAATATCAATAGAAAAGAAAAAAAGAATACTCTTAATGCTACCAGTGGTGGAGGATATTTTTTTTTCAGCAACGGTGAATGCCAACACAGTCACAGCAGGGTCTTTGGAATGGACACTACGGAAAACAGAGAATGCTTTTGACGCGATACGATTTGTTTTAGAAGGAATGAAGGAAGATCTATGATCGCGACGGTATACCATTTAATCGATCCATCGTGGTGTAAACACGTTTTACGGGAGAGATGGTGTGTTTGCCTCAGCTTCTCTTATGCGTTGCGTGGAAGATTCTCGATAACCACGGTCGTAGCGATTAAGATAGAGGGTAAAAACAGGGCTTTCTTGTGTCTCCTTTCTCTTCGATCTTTCTATCTGTATCTATTCTTTTCACTACTTCCCGCTCCTCTCTCATATTTTTCTCTTCTCTTTGAAATTCTTCCCGATTTGTACGATTCGTTTTAACGACACCGGGAAAGAAATTCGAGGAACTTCCTCGACGTTCGTGAAAAACACCGATGAAACGCGTGTTTGTTTAACGTTTAGAACACGGACATATCGGAAGAATTTAACGATCCTCTTGTATGTACGTGCACAACTCCTCTTTCAGTTGCTTCCGTCTCTCCCTTCTCCTCTTTTCTGTTTCTGTCTCTATCTCTCTGTTTCCGTGCAACCCGTCTACAAAATCGTGCAACGTTTTCTCTTTTCAAATGATAACTCACATTCAGGAAAGTATCGGTTCGACGATCGGGCGTTTCGAACAATTATCTCGCGACCCTTCGAATATCTCCTCTCTAAAAGCTCTACCGGAAGTCATCGAGGTCTTCCTCGGTCGTTTCCACGCGTACACAGTCTTGTTTCACGGTGAATCTTTCGAAAGAAGCGATATCTAGATCGCCAAAGGGAAAAGTACAGCAGGAGAAGACAAAAACGAGAGAACCGATCGTCGAACCGAGAAGAAAGGGCTCGTCCCGACTGGAGCGTGAAAAAGTCTCTTAAGGGAACGCTACGATTCTCTTCCCCTCCAATAGTTTGTCAAGCAATGACCGTTAGAGGCCGACCGAGACAGGTAAATGACAGTATTGAAACAGCTCTGATCTGAACGAAACAACGAGACAAGAATCGTTTCTCGATTTTCTGTTAAATGCGAATCGAGAAAAGAGCGCGCGTAAACTCGGTGTACCGGCAACTTACCTGTCGCTGCTACCAAGTGTAATCCGTGTTGTTGCTGGCTGAACCGGGCATCTATCGATATTGTCCGTGTTGCTGGCTGTGTATGTAACGTGTTTATTTTTTTTTCACGTGTGCGGTGTGTGCCCACGTGTGTGTCCGCTTGCTTAAAGAAATTCAACAACTACACACGCTTGCTGGATCGCCCGCCTGCCTGCCATTCGCGAGGACTTCTCCGTATAAAATTTACACCTACCGTCCCTTTGAAAAATTTCATTTCTAGTCCGATCGTGTGAAAGGTAGAATTCATTCGTACGCTGTGAACTAAATTTCATTATCGTCGGTGTACTTTTTATCGGAGAAAGAACAAACTTTGTTGCCTACTTGCTTGCAAAGTTCTCGAAGCAAAGTCGATCATACGTACCGGTTCGAACTATTATTATTTCAACACGAACAGATATATAGGTCTATATAGAAAGAATTATACGAGAGAATTACTGGTCTTCGGGAACTTTGCTATTTGTCTGCCTTGGCTGTGCCTGGCTGCCTGTGTGTGTTTGCCTGTTCTCCGCGAGAACACTCTTCATTCTCTATCTATCTCTCTATCTATCTATCTCTGTCACAGTGCATCGTGCTGTCACTTTTCTCGTGCCCGAGAATCATTCTATCGATACTTCGCGATCTCTCTATCTATCTCTTACGCACAACCACATTCACTCACCACTCACAGAAAAGAAAAAAGAAAAAAATATAGAACACAGCT